AAAACAACACCATTCATTCCAGGCTACTAAAAAAAAAAAAAAGAAAAAGAAGAAAAGGCGAGCAGGTTGCGTTTCTTAATAAGTTGCTTTTATGGGGTGGGGTTGGGGGGGGGGGTGTAGTCCAAACCTTGCAGGCCACCCTATGCGGGCATTTCTTGCCAAGGCCCAGGGGAGGGGAGATAACTCGCAATAAACTGTACATATCCTTATAATGTATGCGCCCGCTGCAAGAAAGATACAAGGGAGGGAAGTTAGGTGCACGTCACACGGCTCACGTCACAAGAGAAAAAAGAGTCAAGGGGAGGAAAAGAGAGAGAGAGAGAGCGAGAGAGAGAGAGAGAGAGAGAGAGAGAGAGAGAGAGAGAGAGAGAGAGAGAGAGCATTCATTCACACCCCCAAACGGGTATGTCGGATCAATGCCTTTCTCACACACAAGAGGAAGAGGAGCAAAGGGGGTCAGGGGGGGGGGCACAATTCATTTCAGGTCTCCAAGTCAACATGGAAGATGAAGAGATCCTGCGGCGTCGGGGAGGAAGGAAAAAGGTTATGGACCAAACGGTGTCACGAGAGCGGGGCGAATGCTCAAGCCGAATTGCTAGCCGAGCGACTTACACGCGCGGGGCGCAATCGAGCCGCACATGCTCATTTTGGATCCGTTTGGGCTTTTTTTTGTAAACGATCCTTAAGAGTCTCAAACTCCGCGACAAAGCGGTGAGAGATGCCTGCTGAAGAGAAGGCTATGCAGTCGCCAGCATAGTAATGTCTATCCCTCCAAAACTCACGAGAACTTTACTTGTATTACCGGCGACATCGTCAGGGAGGCTGAAAAAAAGCCACTTGAAACAGCGCCGATAGATGCTGGTTCTGGATAGGGCTATGCGGCCCGTATGCATCGTCACTTAAGACCCTCAAAACTCAGCAGTAGCTAGCAGTGTGTTTGTATTATTAGCAATATCGCCAGAGATTTAGCAGAAACAAGTGACAAATACGAATTGATTAATTACGGCTCATCATGAGGCTACGGGATGATCTTTATGCTAGGTTAGCTTAGCAGGTTCATTTGTTTGACATCATCGGCGGGCCGTCAAACTGCTTCACTCACCAGGCGGCGGGGTCGTACTCGGCCCAAATCCTTACGTACTCGTCCAGGTGGTGCGGTCCCAGGATGGATGAGTCTCTGGTCAGGTACTCAAAGTTGTCCATGATGACGGCCACGAACAGATTGAGCATCTGCGCACAGCGACACACGGTCCATCATGTCCATTGGCCTGGAGAACGTCTTTGACATTGGTCATTCGCAAACAAAATGGGATTTGTTTATGTTTTGTGAAACACTGGCCGACAGAGACTGCTCACTTGGACGGGTTGCGCGGCTTGTCATCGCTAAACAGAGTAGTCTAGAACAGGCTAAAATGGGCATCGGTGTGGCAGCCATGTTGACGGTTGCCATGTTCCTATTAGAGGTAACGCAATCATCAATATTAGCTTCTCAACGCTGGCTGTTTTTTACTCTCTCCAGAATGTCTCTCCAACTGCTAATTTGGCGACAATATCTACAGTGGGGGAAAAAAATGCTACAAATAAAGAAGCACTAACATCGCGGCTCATGAACACAACCGGTTGCACGCCATTATCCTCCCCGAAATCCACATTTCAAACAGTTTTGAGCGTCACTTTTACTGATTGACAATCATTTCACATGGCCCCGGGGCATTTTGATGCCGTTTTGTACTGTAGTGGGTGTTTTTAGCTCAGGAAAAAATGACTTCGATGTCCCGGATAATTAGTTTGTAAAATCCAGGTTTCACCGGTCAAGACATCGACACATACTGACCCACCCAAGTGCGGCAGCAGTTTTTGTGTTTTATTGCGGAGGGGGCGGGGGATGTTTATGTGCATTGCGAGATGGATTTGAATCGGATTAATTGTTCAGCCCGATGAGGAAGCCTGACAAGTGGCAGATTTTGTGCGTTGCGCTCACCAGAAAGGAACAGAGAAAGATGAAGGAGACAAAGTAGGTGTAGGCGAAGGTGCTGCCGCATTCGGGCTCCGTGTTGCCCGAGGCCGGGTCGCACTCTTTGCCGCCGAGACAGGACAGCATGATTTCGTGCCAGGCCTCGCCCGTGGCGCTCCTGCGTGTCCGCACAAACGCACACACACAGAAAATGAGCGCGAATGAATAACGCCACGGAGCTACGAAGCGGCGCCCGTACGGGCCAGTTAGCGCGGCAAAAGGTCACCTGAAGAGCAGCATGAGCGCCATGACGAAGGTCCGGAAGTTGTTGTGATGGTCGATGGCGCTGTCGCCTTCCTCCTCCAGTGCCAGGTTGCCAAACAACTACACGCGCACGCACACATTTTCATGAGCGGCTGTGTTGCGAGCATGCGCCTCACGGGCACAACGGAAACAGTTTTGACTATTGGAGAGCGCCACGTCGTTTTCCAAACTGACTGATTGTGATGCAATGTAAAAAGTATACATTTCAAATTTAAATGAACTGTATCGCTCGTAAAATAAAAAAATAAATCATACAAAAAAAATGGAATAACATCCTAACTTGACATCGCCATTCACGATGATTGTTTAACAACCACTTCTTGTCCTATATCTTTAATAATAATTAAACTATGAGTACGGTATCGGTAAATAACTCGAGATGCAACCAGTGATCGATTGTCAAATTCATCGATTATTGTTTTTGAGAGTGGATTCATTGTTAAGACACCTTTTTTTAATTTCTAATTGTGCACACCCTCGGAATGTCAGCTTCTCAACAGGAAATATGATCCGATTTCTGTCGTGCTTCATGTCGGCGGACTGACTATCAAAGCAAGACATTTGCTTTTACTTTAGAAAACAATGTTCAACATTTTTGCAGATTTTATAAAACCGTCAGTGAAGCATAGATCATTTTTGTTGGTGCACCATTTTTTTTGAAATAAGAAATAAAGTCCTACTTTTGGATAAAAGGATGGAAATGAATACAGTGATCCCTCGCGATTTCGCGGTTCGTTTATCGCGACCTCCGTGCATCACGGATTTTTTCAAACATATTCATGAAAAAAAAAGGTTTTTTTTAAAGTCTGCAAAAAGTACGCAAACAGTCCGGAAGAGGCAGCTAAAGTCAGCAAAACAACAGCGAGTCACATAGAGCAACAAAAACAGTACTACATGTAGGTTGACTGTACTTTGTTATTCAAACACTAACCTAACCTATAAATGTTTAAATCTATGAGTATACAGAATTAAGTCATGTTAATGACAGTCAAACCTCGGTTTTCGAACGTCTCTGTTCTCGACCAAATCGGTTTTCGACCCAAAATTTCGAGTTTTTTATGCCTTGGATTACGACCGAAATCGGTTCTCGACCAAACTGAGCGCACTTGAATGCGCCACTTGACTCCTCTCGCCTTCCTTACACGAGGAAGTGCCGCCTCCTCGGGTAGACGAGGAAGTGACGCGTCCTCATGTAGTGTTCCATTGTGAGCAGGCGTGTTCAATAAAGATTTTTTTTTTTTTAAAAGAGTGTGGTTTCGGTTTTCGAACAAATCGGTTTTTGAACAGCCTTCTGGAATGGATTATGGTCGAAAACCGAGGTATGACTGTCCTACAAAATTTACTTCTACATGCTTGTATACCATTAAATTTGGCCTTATAAATATTTTTTCTACTCATACGCATATACATGTACCTATACGGGGGGGAGGGGGGTTTCGCTACTTCGCGGATTTTTGTTTATCGCGGGTGGTTTCGGTCCCCATTAACCGCAATAAACGAGGGATTACCGTACAACTCTTTTGGTCCGATTCACTGATTAATTGAGAGACTAAAATAATCTTTTTTTTTTTTGCAGCCACGTCCCAAATCCAATCGAATCCAATCATCCGCTCACCTGCATGCCAATGATGGCATAAATGAAGAAGAGCATGGCGATGAGCAGGCACACGTACGGCAACGCCTGTGAGCAGATCCACACGTGTCGGTCACGCCCGGCCGAGAGTTCGCCGTCGCCCGCCGCGGCGCTGGCTTACCTTGAAGGACTGCACGAAGGTCCACAGCAGGATGCGAATGGTCTCGCCTTGGCGCAGCAGCTTGATGAGGCGGGCGGCACGGAACAAGCGCAGAACGCTCAGGTTGATGAAATTGTTCTTGGAGAAGAAGAAGAAGAACAACAACAACAACGCCAGTCAGCGCACTAACACGCGTGACGTTCAACAAAACTGAAAGTGCAAGCCGGGGCGTGAAAAAAAAAAAAAAAACAGGGCAGAAACAGCCAGAAGAGGACGCGAGGGAGGGTCACGAGAGGGAACTCCAAGAGGACAAAAGAGAGCACAGAAGGAACAAGAGGCGGAAAAACAAAATCAAGGTCATCATCCAATCTGGGACTGCATTTTTTTTTCAGGGGGGTGGGGGGGGGCAAATGCACTGATCTCAGAGGGACAAGCAGGCCACACAAGATGGAGGCAAGCAGGTGGGAAGGAACATCTGGAGACGCCCCCCGTGCCGTGCCCATTGGCAGGGCGACACGGCACGGGGGCCGCCATTTGGTGGCACTCGCTCCTTGGAAATGCGCCACTGTCTCATATGAGTTTTTCAAGAAAATGGCTGCAGGTTCCTGGTTGAAATTTACTGTCAAACTTAACATATATAGTGGTACCTCTGCTTACGAAATTAATATGTTCTGGAAGAAATTCCTTGACTAGAAAATGTTGTAAACTGCATCAAAATAAAAAACAAATGCATGAAACAAATGAGATTATTGCACAATAAATGAGAATAGTGTATCATGTAAAAACAAACAAAAGAGTAAAGAATAAAAAGGATGGTCGTTTAAATTAACTCATCGTTTTTTGCCCTCTCGAGTTCATGTTCTGTCTCAGAAGAGGTTTTTGCCTGGCGTTTCGTCACGAACCGATCCGAGGACATTTGCTTTTGTCGGCTTTTAACAATCCTTCAAAAAAGTCCAAGGCAAACATCAGCATGATGAGCCACGCCCGACTGGTGAACACTTTTTCTGGGTGATTAACAATGACGTCAAACTATCCGAACGACTCTTGGCCCGAGTGGCGAATGACGAGACGCCGCATCCACACGTCACGATCGATTTATCTATCCACACGCATTCGACAGAGGTCCCTCTTAGCCAATGGGATGACAGGATGATGCTCGGTAGCAGCCAATGACAGAGCAGCTAGAAGTATGTTGCATTCAGGAAACTCGGAGCTGCGATTAGCCGGCCACACCGTATTTTTACCTTTCGTAACATGAAGCAATATTTTTCTATTGAGGCGTTTCGTAACTTGACCATTTGGTATGAAGAGACGTTCGTAATTAGAAGTACCACTGTATACTGTGCACGTGTATATCCTGATGTCATCAGCAGTGCCGCTCACAGACACCAGGGGGAACCTTTGCCCTCTTTTGCAGAAACGGTTAGCATTCACACGACATGATCATTAGCGAGATAAAAAAATCCTAATCAAATTCGGATGATTAGCTCCCTGATGTTGGGTTGACAGGCAAGGCCAGGAGGAGGAAGGAGGAGGAGCGAGCAGCCTTCACCACAAGCAGCATGCAGCATTTTGGATTCAAGCATTCCCCAAAAAGATGCTTGCTGTTGACCATGCTCAGCAAAGTCAATTAAAAAAAAACAAAAAAAACCTTTTATTGTTTCAGGAGTAAAAGTAAATGTCGAAAGACTTTTGGGAGTCACTTTGTTTCTCATCATGTGATGCTTTTTTGTAGTTTGCGACGTATTCTTTTCATTTTTTCCCCCTACAAATATGACGTGAGATTTTATGTTGAGTAGAAGGCCTTGTCGCCACAGTGTGACAACTTTTATTGAAGTCGTATTGCAACTTGTTTTGGTTCGTGGTAAATTTGCCGGCTAACTTTGTGTGACGTTTTTGTCGTTCAAAGCTTTATTCTCGCAATATTTTTACTCTTATGTCTAATTTGCAACTTTTCCCTCACAATGTTACGACTTTTTTATTTGAGATTTTGTTTTGGTTTAATGCAAGGTTTTGTTGAAGTATTACGTTTTTTTTTTTTGAGATTTTTTTTTGTTTTAATGCAAGGTTTTTTTGAAGTATTTCGTTTTTTTTTTTTTTTCGAACGATGTGACCTTTTTGTTGTTTGCTACCTTCTTCCCGTATCATTCAACCATTTTCTCAGAATGTGAAGTTTTTCTAGTTTGTGACATCATGAATGATTATGATTTTTATTGATGAGCGATTTTGTTTTGGTGCAAGTCTGTTTTGCGAAACTGTTCTGATATTTAGACTTTTTTTGCACAGTTTTCAATTTTTATTCTCGTAAAGTCGTTTGCGATGTTATTGTCATTATGTTTTTTTTACTGAGTCTCCTCATATCGAGGTTTCATTCAAGTAATATCCCTAATTTTGATACCCTTTCCTCATATACTACAAAACAGTTTTGATAATAATAAAAATGATTCAATTCATCACGAATATTGTGCCATTTCATCCAGGGGGCGCATGCAGAGGGTTCAAAGGTCACCAAGTTTGGGTGATCGGCTTTTGGGGGGCAGCGAGGGGGCGGGACTTTGTCAGCACGACCAATGAGGATGCAGAGGAAGCGTTGAGAGATAAATTACAAACCAACCAGAATCTACATGTGCGATGATGTCGAGGGATGAATGGGAAGGAAGTTGGGGGAAGGGGGTGGGGGGGAAATATATATTTATACATAGTGATAGATATATATATATATAAAGTATATATATATTTAAATGTATATTCATCATGTGTCATGATTGGGGCATGGTCACATGACAAACATGACATCATCATCATCAAAATCATCATCATCAGCAGCAATGCGGATGAAAGACAACACGATGAAAGGTTTCATAGTGCATTTTTGGGGAAGGGGGGCGGAGGGGATTGGATGGAATAGATTTTTTTTCAGAGAAGTTAAAGAAAAGAAAAAGACAAGAAGAAGAAGAAGAGTGAGTCATTATAAGGCTCATTAAGTCACTATGGCAAAAAGTTAGCAGAAATTCAAGGCCCTCCTTGGAGTCACGGGCGTGTAGTTGACGCACTTGTCTGTTAGCTTGGCATTAGCGAAGGCAGACGTCTGTAAAGCTAGCTTTGGCATTAACAGCTCCGTCCGTTCCAAGATGGCAACGCCCGAACAACATCTTAAACATTCCAATATTTATTTTGTTTGTGCGCGTTTATTTTCAGTTTGTTTGACAGCCGTTAGCGTTCTCGTTTGCTAGCAAGATTTAGCCGCTAAGCTAACAGCTGCTGAGTGGACACCAGAGAGGGATCTCAAAACAACACAGACGAGAATCGTATGAGATACTGATGCTTCTGTAAAACTTCACCGATGACCATTCGCATTCTCATAATCCACAACACAAGGATGGCGCAGGTGTTGCTTTGGCACGACTTAAGCCCACTTACCCCTAATTTTGTCACCAAAATGTCCGTGATGCTCCCCAGCACGGAGACAAAGTCAAAAATGTTCCAGGCATCTCTGAAGAAATTCTGTTTTGGACAAAGGAGGAAGTTAGCGGTCGTCCAAAGACCCATGTTCCCATGGAAACGAGGGGCGGCAGGAGGATGACAGTTGGCGTGCGCACGTCGGGGTTTTTCGGGGATATGGAGAACACGCTCCAGATCTGTCTACCAAAATAAACCTGCCTCATGAATCAATGATGAGAGCCTCGATGTGAGCGTGTGTGAGACTGGGTGAGTGTGTGACACTGTGCGTGTGTGTGCGTGTGGTCACCAGAGGGCCAAAAGCGACCAGCTTCAGGATGGACTCCAAGAAGAAGAAAGTGGTGAAGACGATATTGAGGTTCTGCAGGACATCGTCGTACGTTTCCGAGGCGCCGTCAAACTGCAGGGACAGGGGAGCAGGTTAGCCGAGCATCGCTTCCTCGCGCCACAAAGTCATTTCAAGTGAACTCAAGCAGCACTTTTGGCAGATATGAAAAAGAATGGAGTGGAAATGCCATGAATTTGTTCCAGCTTTTCGCCTCAAAAACAATCAAAAGAGCTCTCCGTAATATTGCTCATTGAGACGTCTCAACTCCTCTCAGTTCATCAGTACGGCACTCGTACTGATTGGTCGTTGCAGAGGACAAAGAATATATGACTACGGGTAGTTTTATATTGTCGGTTTACTGTTGTTGGAGTTATTTATGTTCACGTCATCGCCTCAAGGGTTCTCGCGCTACGGCGTCAATACTTTTTAGCAATAGCATTCAGATAGTGGGTGGAGAAGGCAAGGCTCGGAGTTTTTTTCAAACACACAACTAAAGGGGATTCTAAACTTTGACGTATAATAAATTCAGCATTTGTTCTTTTTTTTTTTTTTTGGGAACACAGATTCATTCATTGCTTGTTTTTGTGGAGGGGCAAAAAAAAAAGAACCGTAAAGAAAACAATTGTATTTTCAATCGCGATTGCAATATTAAGGGACAAAACCAAAATGGCAATTGTTGGTCGGCGGCCTTGCGGGGCCTCACCTTCATCATGAGTACGATGGTGTTGAGCGCGATGAGCGCCATGATGCTGTACTCGAAGGGCGTGGACACCACAAACTGCCACATGCGATACTGGAAGCTGAGCTTGTTCTTGGGCATGTGGCGCGTCAGCGGCTTGGAGTTGATGGCGAAATCGATGCAGGCCCTCTGCAGGGAAGAACGGGCGTCAGCCAAGCCGGCCGTGCCGGCG